TCCTGTACATTGCTCCCTGTACCAAATTTTAACCATTAAAACTACAGCGATGCTGTTATTCGAATAACAGACGTTCCTGGAAAATTAATTAGCGGCGATGCTGTCATTTTTCCTGTCATAATTTTTTGCAGTGCAGTTAAGTCGCACCTTTAAACGGTGATAGGGCAGATAGGGGTTTAGTGCCTTTACAGGGCACCAAACCTGTGTGGCTTAGCGCCTTTGTTTTTCCGGTGTAGCGTCACTCCCCCACCACCCCTTCACCACCACCCCTTCACCACCACCCCTTCACCACCACCCCGTCACCACCACCCCATGTCGTGTGCAACCCGATATCCTTGCATGTGAGAGCTTGGAGATCCCGTAAATTTGTGACCATTCCAAAATTTTGTGATTAGCAAGAAATCAACTCCTAGGTGTAATATCATGGAGTGCATAAAGTCCTGCTTCCTCAAAAAGTGAATAATAGATGTTTATCTCGTTCAACAGTTACTATTCTGGCGAATCGCCCATGACGCCTCCTTCACCTCCTTTTAACCAGAACAATTTTGATGTTACTTTGGTTAAAACTAGTTGGCCTAGTGAGTTTGGGCCCAACCATAAATACATGCGGTCAATGTTCCACCAGACACCATCATTTACCGGCTACGGCACCTCTGGGCATCCTGACAGAATACCGTAAGTATGCTTCATTAGAGGCTCTAAACATCAACACTTCCGTTTTGTAATAGCCCTTTTCGCCGGGGAACAGTTATCTGCAACTTTCTTCCTCTGTTTTCAGACATTTAATTATATACTTAAAAGCAGCTGACGGGCGTAGGCCCGATTTTCAAAAGATTTTTGAATCGGCCAGGTGTTACTTACTTGCCCACATTGCCTTGTTGTACGAGGAGGACACAGAAGGCTATGTAAGTATACTTAAAGGAAGTGTAGTTTTTCGAATCCTGCTGCCAACTGAAAAGTTTCATTAAAATACTGTTCTTTGTCAACAGACAGCACTGTATTATGCTGCCAAACTCCATGGATACGATAAGATTGTTGGCTTCATCCTCGAATGTCTTATAGAGGCCGAACACAAATGCAGTTTGATCAAAGACCCTGCTAAATCCCAGTACAGGATTGAACTTGAGGTGCGTAAACACCAACCATTGCAGGCAGTCGTGCTCCCGGTGCGGCGAGTGTGTGTGTGACAGAGAGAGAGAGAGAGAGAGAGAGAGAGAGAGAGAGAGAGAGAGAGACTATCATACCGCTGCGCAGCATGCCTGCCGTCCATCGGGGTGGCGCCCGAGCATCTTCGCGCCAGTTTGTTTAATCACAACTAGCCTGACGACTGAATGTTTTCCTTGCCTTACAGAGATATGGGAACTTTGGTGACAACATTTTGCACTGCTTGGCAAGATGGCATAACGAGCAAAATAATTACATCCCCGTTGCAGAGACCTTGTTCAGTACCTGCAGCAAACTAATGAGCTTGAAACTTGAGCGTAATAAGGAAGGTAAGATTTTCCAGTGGCAGGCTAACTCTGGGTATTCCACTGCGAAAAAGCGTATTCTGGTACAACACGAACGTTACTTGGCGTTTCTTTGTGTGCTTTAGCTTCTTTCTTCACAACAGAACTTCTAATTCGTAGTCTTTTCTCTTCTCCAGGATTTCTTCCGTATGAGCTGTGTCAAAGAAGCGACATGAAGATGTTTTTGCACCCTCATGCGTATTAAGTGACCATGACGAGTTTGTTCTAAGACAAAATGACAATTTTTTCTGTCAAAATGACGTGACAGCGATGGTACATTGCCCCAATGTTGTAGGGTTGCCTTGCCATTTTTGATCATCTCAATGTACATCGCATTTTACTTGCTAGCTGAACCGTAAAGTGCTAACGCTACTTTGGGTAGCGAACTCGCGAGAAGGGAATCTTGTCGATGTTATTATGATTCTGTCTTTTCTGTATTCAGATATGTAGGCTACTAGCCTCACGCTCGCACTAGTCAACCCCATTCCACGTACTATGTGTTTGTGTTAGCAGATAGAGATGTACAAACAAACTAAAAATACCATTCTGTAAATAAGGCATTTTCTGTTAATCTTAATTAACTCGTGCTCAAATGTCTCGATGACCACAATAAATATAGTTGAAAGATTAGAATTTACGATTTCTTGATGTCGAATTAAGTAGTGTGTAAACATTTTTGCATAGTTTCAGTCATGTGTCTTAAAGATCTAATTTATGAATAATGCGATTGTAATGACTTTCATAGTAAATAACAGCATCATTGTGTATTATGGCATTAAAAGTAAAAGACATTCTGATGCAAATCAAATCTGTATATTTTCCGTTGTAAGCTATGTGCACAGTATGTAACGTTAACAAATAAACAAAACAGCAGTCATAATTGCATTTATCTATCATCATTTCCAGATAAAAAAGTTTAAGTATCATCCCACCAACCGAAAGCTGGGCGGCGCTAAGGGACAGACCAGAAAGTATGTTCATTCGTTCTCAGAATCATTCGGCAGGGGAGCCCGGCGCCTGTGAGACTCTGGGTAGGCCACCCCGCCGCACACGCATGCAGTGCATGCAATATATTGCATAACCATCAGGCGCTATGCGAGCTAACATCGTCTGAACTTGGCAGGTGCGTAACGACGAATGACAGACTTACTTTCTGGGTGATCCCTAAAGCTTACTTTAAGTAGCGCATACCCGGTGAATTTGATGCACTGATAGCACGACCAAACGTGTATGTTTTCATAAAACAGTGCATAAAACATGTAGAAAAATGTTTCTTACTGCGCATGTCCAAGTCCATGCTCTTGATGCGTCCCAGCCAGAAACGTCGTATCGATATTCCGTCGAATCGACATCGACTTGTCGAAAAATTCATCGTTTCGACGTATTTTTGGACCTCTGGTACGACCAACGACGTCGAAATGACGGCGTTACGACATGCCATTTCTGGCTGGGGTTGACGTTACTCGGGTTTGTGCAGTTACCTTGAAATATAAAATTTAAGGTCTAAGTTGAAGTTGATATATCACAACCATCAATGCGTACCTGTTAACTAAAAAATAGTTTTATCTTGTTTCACTAAAATAAGACATTATCTACTAATTTTCCTATCGGAGAATGAACAGTAATTAATTGCTATTTCTGGAGCTTATGTGGCAGTGATGTGCTTGCTGATAGAATTGAATTCTGTGGAAGATTTTCAAGATTTTCATTGAACTTATGAGTTGATGCATTTGCATGATATAATTGTTATTTTCCCATACGCTCGACATCGAAGTTAGTAGTCCTCTGTTGACGTGCAATCCTGGACAGCACAAACGCAAACGTATTTAATACGAATCAACGCACACAAAAAAATGTTTTCATTACTTCTTTAAATCTTTTGCCAGCACTAACCAATAGTCGCCGATGAGCAGCAGGCCTAATACCAACCCCTTTGTTGTAAAAGAGCAAGGTGGAAGAAACTGATACTGGCATTTTCGTTCTGCACTTAAGAAAACTAGGAACATAGCTCCTTTACCGAACTCCCTGAAGATAAAATAATTTCTGAAGCCTAATCGATTTATTTCAAACTGCAGAGGAGTGGTCACTAACAAAACACCATATGGAAACAATGTTCAAGTTTTTAAAAAGGAAAAAAAACACTCACAAATCAACGAAAAACATGGCATATAATCTATCAATAAATAACTGAAAATAATAATACCGTTCGTTTTATGTACTGGGCGCTACTGGGGATCTCATAAATACTTTATGAAATCACAGAAATGAATTATTACAGAAATCTCTGTCAACCGTAATGTGGATTCCCTAACTTAACAGAGCCTTAGCAAAAATAACACACTTGATTAAAACTCATATCTGGGACTTTCTTATCAGAAGTAAAGCCAGGAACTACATCCTGCGACTAAGAACTTGCAATTACGAAAGCCGGAGGTACCATGCGAGACTAGACCAGAATAAATTAGTCCACGATGCTTTTTACCATCACCGTGGTCTGTCCCTTTTGCGATCTGATGTTCATCGATCAACTAATCAACAGAACTCGACATAATAGCTATACTCGATAAAATCATTTAAAAAGAAAACAAAACACATTCGGCGCAGCGCACGCTACTGCAGGCGTAGCTGCTCCCACAATGAACTTTCCTTGAGGTGACACAAAGTAGAACACGGCGAAAAAAAATTGCAGGTTATACCGGAAGATTTTCCGTGATGTGTGTCGTAAATTACAATTTAAATTTGAAAAAATACAAGCATTGCGTATCGACATGGAATTTATTGACAAGCAACGGCTGTCGTCAGTCTACAAACATATTTTTTTTTCCAGAAAACTACACAATATTTTGGAATTTTTCAGTGAAAGCTGGGCTGAACGTTCCTTTGCCTGACGCTGCTGCTGCCGCTAATGGCGTGCTCTAATTGGAGGGCCACCGCCTCACAGAGCTGCTTGGCGGGCTGGCCTACCCAGCGCGAAGCGCGGGCGCTAACGTTAGCGTCGCCTTTGCGAGGCGTTCATTGTGGGTACACCTTGTGGGGAGGAGGGTTCGCCTCCGCGTCCCTCACCCTGCTCACGCCGCTCACGCTCGCGGGAGCTTCCGCCGCGGCGACCGCGCTTAGGTACACACATGGTGGCCGCCAGCAGACTCCTCTGTTGTCGAACCGCACAGACGCGCGGATAGAGTTACACGAGATACTTTGCTCTCTCCTTTACCTGTGAAGAGGAGGCTCTCTAGCTCGCGACCCTAGCGCAGCAGGGGTTTTTAGTCGCCTACTTTGCCTCGGACCACACCAGGCAGGCACCGTGTTGGGTGAGCGACGATAGACAAACACACTACTTGCAAGGCCAGCAAAGTGCGGTACTGTGACAGTTCGACAACGATAAAGATGGTATAGTCTGTTGGGCACCCTGTATACATTTGATTTAATACTGTCCAGTATTTATAAACAATAAGGTTGTACGACGGAAACCTTTACCCTAGCAGCGCCAATACACAGTAACATATATGCATTAAATAAATACGGCACTGCGCATAAGAATGCGCCGAAAAAATAGCACATGTTCAATGTGTTAAAATTTGGTAAACCTAGGCGCATTTCTATGCGGACTGCCAAATTGGCGCTGCCCGGGATGGAAAGGCAAAAATAACAGTATTAGTTAATTACTTTAAAACTTTTCACATAGCACCATGATCCGCTAAAATAACAATGTGGCAACATGAATATATAAAACATATTTAACTAACACGTTCAATGAGTTATTTTGTGCCCACTTATATGTAAATACATTTTGCTTGCGCTCTTTTCATGGTTATTTGAAGTTTCAGTATCACATTGTCGCTTTCATCACATGAATTGTGCTCCATAATCCATACACGCGCTCAGTCTTTCGGCACAATTGTAGAAATTTGCTTCTCAACAACCTCTATTTCGAACAGCAACGCTAAAATTACATTTATTTGATAATGATCAGGAACATTGTCCGTAGGTTGGCACACTGAATACACACACTGCTCTGACTACTTTCCTCCATCAAAGTCTCACTCTACAACATTGCAACACATCCCAAACCACGCGAGAATTTCTCAGGGCCTGGGCGTTCGAGGGGGGAGTGTACAGACGTGTGTGTAGTGTCAACCTACGAAACCAATAGTGTCCATAGTTTCGGAAGCGTTTCAAGGAAGCTGTACTTTAAAAACTACTTTGACACTTGCACGTCCACAAAGTTGTGCGGCGACGCCACGCCACCCGCCCCTCTGCATCCGCGACGCGATGCGTGAGAGACACCCTCGGAAGGGGGCGATGGGGAGCAGGAGTACTGAGTACGCGGAGTACACCCGGAGTACAACCGTCCGGAGTACAACCGTCCGGAGTACAACCGTCCGGAGTACAACCGTCCGGAGTACAACCGTCCGGAGTACAGTCGGAGGGCAGCCGGAGCACATCCGGAGTACTGTCATCCCGGGACACAGAAGCACACCAGCCGCTGAGCTGCGCTGAGCGGTCGCGCCGCGGTGCCGCCCTAGCCGGCCTCCAGATCGTTGGGCAGGCTGAACTTGTGCTTGCCCTGCTTCCGCCACGAGCCCGTCGTGCAGACGCCGGGTCCTCGCCACCAGGCGTTCACGTCCCGGTACGACTTTGGTCGGAAGTCGTCGTGCAGCAGCGCGCACAGGCGGCAGAAAAAGTGCGTGTTGATGAACTGGCCGGTGCCCTTCCACCGGAAGTAGCTGTTGTACAGGTCGTCGTCGCGATCCAGGCGGTGCAGGTAGGCCGCCAGGGCCTTGGGCGACTCGAAGTCGTCGACGTGGATGTAGGAGCGGACGGGTGCCGACCGCGCGTAGTCCTCGGGCTGCGCGCCCATGGCAATGGGGATGATGTTGCGCCTGTTAAGGTAGGTCGAGTTAAGTTAACATAAGTGAATTTAGTGAGACGTGTTGACAGTCGCTGAGTCGCTGCGAGCTTAGCTTACCCTAATCCGTTGACGAAAAACTTCTCGGTGATGTAGTCCTTGCAGTTGGAGTTTTCGAACGCGAGGTAGAACTTGTAGTGCTGGTCCAGCAGGGCGAAGCACTTTTCCGGCTCGTTTCGGAGGCACTTGAGTTGGCCACAGGCGCCGTAGATGTCGACCTGGATGTATTTGGAGAGCTCCATGGCGTACTGCAGACGGCCGTTGCGAGCTGCGCAGTTGGACACGAACCACGCCACCTGTGGAGAACGCAAGGAATCAGAGTCAGGACTCGGGCCGAGGGGTATACGTGCGCGGTGCACCAAAACTGATCGCGAGGGGTATCGCTGGAAGTGAAGTGAGGCCGGAAAGGAGGGGGGAGGAGGGAGAGGGGATGTGCGAAGTCCGAGTCCCCGCTGCGCAGGGAGGCGTGCGGGGTTGCCTATCCTTGGGTCTGCGGGCGCCAGCCGGCGGAAAGACTCTTTTCAACCCCCACCTTTCTACCCTGCGCATCCTCTTCGCGTCCACGCGAGATATGTTGCTAGGAATACGCACACGCCACTGGGGTAGCTTGAGTTGTTCGACGAGCCAAAAGCAAAAGAAAACACCTCGAATCTTTTACCTTTCTGGTCTTGTTGAGGGCGTAGTTGGGCATCTCGGCGAGGGGCCGCTGCTTGAGCCGCGGGTCGTAGTACGCCCAGCGCTCGTACGGCGCCACGAGGTCGCTGTCCCGCCGGTAGGTGGCGGTCCAGTTGAACACGTCGTTGTACTTGATGTGCTGCGTGTGGTACGGGCACTCCAGGAAGTACAGGATCCAGATCTGCGTGAGAAATTTCGTACGAATTGTCAAAATTTTACAGTAACAATTATGAGATTTTTTTATTTATTTTCCGAAGACCATTTTTTTAACGAAACGTTTAAAAATTCTCCTTTGTTACTGCAACTCTAACTCGGCGGGCCCTCTCTCCTCTCACCTGGCGCGGAGGCCTCGGCACTCCGGGGTGCCTGAAGTAGTCCTTGTACAGGATGGCGTCCGAGGTGGCCGCCTCGTCCTGCCGGTCGGTCAGCGTGCACGTGTCCACGGGGCACATCTCGCGCTTGAACACGGTCTGGCCCGCCGTCAGCCCGCCCCACGACGACCAGCCGTTGTACAGCAGGATCTTCTTGAGCTTCTTGGGGGACGCGTCCTCCGTCTTGGCCTCCGGAGGTACGAACATGAGCTGGTTCAGCACACGGTCGCCGCCCACCTCCTCCTGGCGGGATGGGAGGGGAAGACGATTGGTTTAGTAAATGTTTCGGGTCGTTTTTGTTTTGTTTCAGAGGGTAGGCGAATTTGTCACGGCACCTCGATGGAGTTTGGGCCGACAATAGTCTTTTTAGAAGCTATGATAAAGTTACGTTCAAAGAGTCTCTTAATTTCAAAAATTACCTAAAATGACCTCGGTAACCCTCCGACTTGTAATGCAATAACGTTTACCTCAGGCCAGAGGCGCGCGATGCGCCGCCCGGTGATGGGGTCCTTCTGCACGGCCCGGGGCCGCCGCTTCCCGTTCGTCATGTACCAGGGCAGGCGCTCCGGGTGGGGAGGGAACGGCACCGGCTTGACTGAAGCACCCTGCCGGTCAAAGTAAAACAAACATAAAAAAGGAAATTCCTTTCGTATTTCGAGAGCAGACCTGGCCGCGGTTGCCATATGGGCCGGTGGAATAGTGCGGCATATATATCTAATCTAGGGGACGACCTCAGTCGCACTCACCGGGCCGTCCGGCGGCCAGATGTACTGCGTCGGGTGGGCGGCCGTGGAGGCGGCCTCGCTGTCGGCGAGGCTGGCTGCGGGCCCGGGGGCGGCGGGCGCCTGGGCGGGGGCGGCGCCGGGGGCGGACGCGCGCACCAGCCCCGCCCCGCCCGCCGGCCCCAGCGGCCCGCCGCCCCACCGCGGCTTCAGGTGCACGTTCAGCAGCACCAGCAGCACGAGGCTCGACGCCAGCAGCAGCCACAGGAAGTGGCGGCGCGGCGAGAACCGAGGCAGCATGGCCCCTGGAACAGAGGGAGGAGGGCGTCAGAGGACCTGGAAGACATCCTGCGAGGGGTACTTGACTGACAAAACAAAATCAGAAGAAAATGAAGGGAAAATGAAGGAAAAGTAAGGGGGCAGAAAAAAAGAAAAAAAACAAAACTGAAACATGGGTGGGTGAACTTTGGAATTTATAGTTAAGTACCCATCCTGCAGCCGCACTGCAACATCGCAGGGATCCCGGCCGGATCGCAGCACAAGCGCGTTGTGAACGTTCCTCACGTCAGCGCCACCCCTTTCACATCAGCCCCCCTTCCCCCCCC